CCATGTGCACACCACTAGTTATATCAAACGAGAAAAAAAAGCAAAAAGAAAAAAAAACGGAACCTGCCGGTGTTGAAAAAAAACCAAGGACAGCTCCCGGGACAAGGAGATCAAATACAGTTCCCCTTACACGGAAGTCACAGAAGGTTTCCTAGACACAGAAGTCAAAGAAAGTTGCCTGAAAACAAAAACGAAGTACTTTTTTACAGAAAATTTTTCATTACGCGAAAGAGACAATTGAGCGTGGTGCCTAAATTTGAATGGGTCGTTGCAAATAATCCCCATTTGCACAAATGTGATCGAGCTTTACAAAGAAATGAATTTAGGAGAAACATAAAAGGAACATCAGCATCACTTTCAGAGCTTTATAAATCAACCGAAAACCGTTACGGAGTCAAAGTGTTTGCTTTGTTGAAATATCATGAAATTATTTAAGTTATCTGCTTTCTGTTTACTTATCGTGGCCGAGGCAACACGGTTACTCAACCAAAATAGTGACATAAATCAGGTTACGCATTCTAGCCAATTCTAGAATAAATTTTTTTTATCATAGAAGTCAAGTCGCAAGTAACCACGCAAAGAATTAATCTCAACTGACTGTTCTGCATTAAACTCCCACTTCGACTTAGCAGATAAGCCGTTTTTGTAAAATTCAAAACGTTTGAACAAAATCTATTTTAGAAGTCTGGAAATGAAAACAAGAGATAGTTTCCCGGACAAGGAAACCAAGGACAGTTCCCCGGACAAGGAAACCAAGAACAGTTCCCTGGAAACGGAAGTCAAGAATAGTTCCCTGGAAACCGAAGCCAAACGCAGTTCTCTTTTAAAGGAAACCAAGAACAGATCCCCGGACAACGAAACCAAGGACAGTTCTCTATACACGGAAGTCAAAGACAGTTCCCAAGAAACGGAAACCAAGGACAGTTCCCGAGACAAGAAAACCAAAAACAGTTCCCTCGACACGGAAGTCAAATACACTTCCTTGAAAACGGAAACCAAGGACAGTTCTTTGGACAGAGAAACCAAGGGCGGTTCCCGGGTAATGGCAACTAGAAACAGTTTCTTGGCAATACGAGAGAGTAGCGCCAAAATAAGTGCAGTTTGCTTCCGACTGGGAGAGGTCGGTTTTCGTAGAGCTCGTGAAATTTCATTGCCGATTATTCTGCAGTAGGATTTATGTTAATCAGTCAGCTTGGAAGACTGGCATGAATAACGAAAGTAGAATGAAAAGTTACTGCGGCGATGTTACGTTTGAGTATTCTGAAAGTGATTAAATAGCGGGTTTTTTTTAGGTTTCGAAAAATTCTAGAAATCTTTCGCTCTTAACGTCATGGAGGAATTCCCGATACATTGGCAACAATGTCATATTCCAACCCTAATAAATGTTGTTTTTATTTACTTGTGGTTTTATTACAAAATAACATTGGGATACAAGCACGATTTTACACCGTTGCGGTCAGTGCTTAGAATCGTCTGACAAGTGATAACGTGTTTGACAAAGAAATTCTGTTTTGGAACACCTTTTCGAGAACGGTTGGAAGCACACAGAAGAAAAAAAGTAAAGATGTTTTTAGTTTAGAGCAGCTAATCATCACTGTTTCATCGATTGATAAAGTCAGTGCAGGTTGTAGGATTATCGCGAAACCTGAACCTTGTTTTATAAAAGTCATTCTGAAGCAGTCTTGCATGTACAAATTTGGTAGCCGTCTAAGAACATAATCAGAGCAAAAGTGTAAGAGAAAGCGTCAGCATCGCTTTCAAAATTCCACATGTGTGCTGAAAGTTGCTGTTTAGTCAGAGCAATTATTTGTTGGTAGATCATAAATTTTGTTGTAGTGACTGCTGTCTTTCAGTTCGCCACGGCTGCACCAGCACGATTGCTGAAATCAGCTGGCTCGCATAAAGGATATTCAAATTCTTTTTGGCTAATTCAGGATGGGACGTTGCACAACATGGTTAAGCACACGGTTTTTTTATGCTGCTTTTTCGGCTTTGCTCGGTCGTATTTTTGTTTTGAACTGTGGAAATTTGTCGGCCCTTTCTGATGCCAGTCGTGCTAAGTCACATTTCAAGTCTGACCAGGCATAACAGGCGCAGTTCTCGGGCTTCTGTCTTTTCGTCGCAAAATCTAACGCTTGTTTTCTGGCTTGATCTGCCATTACCTTTGCTCTCGTGATCTTTATTTTCTGTGCGGACATTGTGCGCATTTTGCACAAGTTTATGTTAGTGTTGTCTTGTGTTTCGCATTAATTACTGCATCATAACGGATTCAAGAAGCGTAGAGGAAAAGGTGAAGTTGTACTTGTGACTGCCGACTCAGCAAGTGTCGTGGGATCTGTGTTTGTATTTTTACAAGGTGCTTCGACGTCTTTGCTTTTTGCTGTTCCGTGTGTCTGCGTTCTGTCGGATGTTAATCAGATTCGTGTTTATGATGGTATTGAAAGCGGTTTATTAAATCCTTTTTTTCAATGGTTTCTTGCCGTCACTTATCGTCATATTCAGCTGTAGTCAGGATATTTCGCTCTAACAGGCCGGCCTGCCTGTGCAATCACTCCGTGTCCGACTCTCCAAGTCGTGACTGTCGTTGGACACTCTATTCCGGTGTCCGTCGCAGTCGTCCGGCACGCTGCATTTACAGAAAGGTCTTCAAATCAGACCTTCTTATTCGCCTCTCCAGTCTCAAGAACTTCGAATCTTATGTAGGTTTGTTTACTCCGCCGTCACACAACGCATATTTCTTTTAAAAGGTTTCTAGTAACAAAAATAGGCGTTTTCGTATGCACTTCACGTTTGTTCTGTACATTTTTTAATTGTTGGCTACATAGGTTACTTCGACAATAAAACTATCAAATAGCTAAAGCCGAGCACTAAATAAAGTTGTTACCCGCAACAACACAATTGAGTAGAGTCACGAAAACTAAAAGACCTTTAAGTCTCGCCTAAAAATGAACCATCTTTCAACGAAAAATAGAAAAATTGACATTAGCGGTGTATTCGTTTTCTCTTTTACTTTCATTAGTTTTCCCAAAATACCCCACTACTTCTGCAGTACTATTTTTTGATGTTTTTTTCATTTATCAAAAAATCAGATTCTTCAACCTGCAAATTCGGGCTACACTCTATCTAATTTTTGATGTCCCGTCCTATCTTTTCTTACACCCTTTTTAACTTTTGGCTATGTATATTACAGAAAAACCTAGTAGCTATACCTAACCGACTGAAACAGTTTCATTTCGCAATTATTCGTCGGCTTCAGAAACATATGGTGCTCGTTTTTGACTTACCAAAGAAGAAACTTACGCGTCTGTCAAGTTATAATCGATCTAGTCACAGAAAGCACGATTTTAGTCATGAACGGCCAGCTTAGTTAAACCATTAGGCTTGTAGTTGCTACGAGATTGGTGCGGGACTTTAACCACTGTTTCATAGACCATGACCATTGGACTGTAATTTTAATATCTACGGTAGGTATGAAGAAACTGTTACTGACACTCGGTTAGAGATGCCAGTTCTTAAAATAAAAAAAATTAAGAAAAAAGATTAATGTTCCAAGTCTTGTACAGCCCAGAAAAAGCGTTGTTCAGCAGACGCTTGTGTAGAAAAAATCGGAACGCTTCCGATATTTACGGACTTACCACAATAGGCATTTCTGGCAATGTAGGCGTCCTGACGACGAGAATGAAATAAACTTAAAACATCTTAAAACGTAAGAAAAGCTGCCAGCACTTAGCCGAAAAAGTTGGGAGAGTTGATGAGTAGATGGATAACAGTGAAACTTCTTTTTGGATTGAGTTTTGGCTTAGATTAGTTTAAGTTAAAAGTTATTTTCACGTGGGGTTTCTCCATTTGGCTTGTTTTTAGGCTTATGGTCGTTTGTTATAGCGCTGTTGAAGTATTTCTTACAGTCAACATTATTGTTGTTCGTTGATGAGTAACACAAACGAATTACTAGGAGGGTCCTAACCATAACTGAAGAATATTAAAGACCAAGAAAAAGGAAGTTCCTAAATGAGAAATGTCTAAGAAGCCACTAGAATCAAATAATTGCCGGTTTCCGTGAAAGCAGAAGGAACTTAAAGTTATGGTCCACATAGACGAACTGGACGTCTGACTCGTACTTTGCTTCTAAAGCGGATGATAGCTCTGTACTGCCTAACCCCAGAAGATTTGGAGAGGGCTGAAAAAATCGTAATATTGAGGTATCTTAATGAAGACGAAGACTGTGATACGACTTTCAAGTTCTGTAACCGTTGTTTATCTGGCCTATCGACGATTTGCAAGCGGCATTTGGCAATAGCAGGGTGATGCTCAACAGTGCTGGGTACTATTCAGAGTAACTCGTTCCGACTCAGAGGAAATACCAGCGCCGACATCCTCGTAACAACATGTCGCCTTTCCAATATTTGGTAGGCAAAAGTACCGATAATGCAGGCTATTCGTCAATACATTGCGGATGAAGAAGAAGAGCTCCAAACGTATCCAATCAAAAAAATGACGTAGGGTGGAAGAGCTGAGGCTCCTCGAGTATCTGCTTCTCAGTAACACTTTTTGCCGATTCACAAGTACTTGTGAACACTGTTTAACGTGTAGACAGTGTGCTTTTCACAAATAATGCTGTTTTTCTTAACTGAGAAATATTATCAAATAAATCTTTGTAAGTCCTTGTAAATATTGCATGATCTGCTAAAAAACAGTTTGGTTTATGCATCAGATTGACACATGAATTTACTACCTTTTAAAATAACCTACGTTAACGTACAAATAAAAAAGTTTTCAAAATTTATACCGCTTTTTTTTACAAAAACCTGTCAAAACCGTAATTTTCTAATATTCTTAATTGTTAGTTTTTTTTGCATCTGATGTTAAGCGAAATTTACGGAGGAAATGCAAGCAGCAATGATAAAGCACCTTTGTAATACAAGCTGAAATTTTATAAATAATGGCAAACTACTATATAAGCATTTTCTTGATTCAAGTTGAAGTAACATATGACAGAAAGAAAAATGACGGCGCTACGTTTCACAATTAACTCTGGTGCGAAATAGAAAAGTTGTTGCTTTGCAGATAACTTTAAGATTATGTTTCAAGAAACACGAAAAAAGAAGAGTACCGAGAATGAGCTGCGTCTATTGCTGTCTTAGAAATTCACGGCTCACCTTCAGTTCATTGTAAGGTTTAGTTTCCAAAGCTTCCGTTACTATTTTGAGTGCTGCTTTACAATGTGTTCAACGTCTAGTTTGAGGCTTACAAACGCAACAACTGCATTTGTTTTCTGTACGAACATTCCGTTTGCTCAACATTTGTTAAAATGCAAATCTACAAGAAAATGGTTGCTGAAACTGTAGGAAATAACATAACTCATGTATTATTTACTTTCTTCCTTTTTTTTGAGGATGCGTGAAATAATCATCAGTTCAGAAGTAACAGCCCTCAAAGTCTACTTTGGACACACTTATTAATAATACTGAAAACAAAAGCTTACACCTGAACGTTAGCAGTTAATTCTAAAAAATTGTGATAAAGTTGTAAAATTTACTCACTTTTCGTTTCGCTCTGCAGTAACTAAAAATTTCTTGCTTATCATTTTGTCAAAAATAACAGTCAAAATTTTTTTAAAGTTGACAATTTGTACCAAGTAGGATAGAAGAAGTTTTCAATGTTTACCAGTTACTTGAGCAAATAGCATATCTTTAAATTGAAAAGAAGAAAATGAATAAAACTTTTTCTTTTTTGTTTAAGTGCAAATTTTTTGGTAAAAAGATACTATAAATGAATAAGCAAATAGTTCAAAATTTAAAATTTTGTATTGAATTAAACAGTATATTAGTCGGAGCTTTTGATTCGATAAGGAAAGGCGCTAAGCGCATCGACAGTTTACCTCTCGGATATTTGTAAAAACATCGTACCGTAAAAACAGAATGTTTCAAAAACTAATTAATGAAACTTTTATCTGTCTCTTATTCAAATGTCAAATTTTTTTAAAGAATTATTTATAAATCAAATTAATTTACAATGCTTTTTTACCCCACAACTATAATCTGAAAAAAAAAGAATCATGAAGAAGTTTCATTTAATAAAATTCACCTTGCCGTTGACATGCATGGCAGATCTGTGCTCAGTTTTGCTCTACTTAACTGAAGCTAAATACCTTTGATAATGTCTGGAAATTAG